TACATCGTCCTGCCTCCGCCCCTGATTGTATTATTATTACCGTTTAAAAAGTTTAACAAACCACATTACAATGGTCACTGATACGCTTGTGATTTCCGTGTGATTGTTTACGTTTTTAGTTAGTTTTGGTTGTTTAATATTTCGGAAATTACACACTTTTTTGGTGTAATAGTTTAGTTTGTTAAATTCTTGTAAATTGCTTAGATTAGGTTTATTCTGAGCTCAAACAGGTCTACTATCACTCAAAGGACAGTTGGTGAACCATAAAAGTGGAAGGAAGGTGCAAAATCACAAGACAAAAGGGAAGATCCTGATTTTTGGTCTATACCCGGTCGAGTATCATCTATACTCGATCGGGTATCTTGTTGAAATTTCAAATCGGATCGGATCCGAAAACAAAGGAACATGCAGGGAAGATTTTGACCACGATCGAGTGTCTATACCCGATCGGGTACACCGACATACTCGATCGGGTATAGCTATAAATTTTACTCTAAATTCGATCGAGTATGGATCGAATTCGAGTTTCTACACATACTCGATCGAGTATCTGTATATACTCGATCGAGTACCCGACCTGCACCCCAAAAAAGCCTATAAATACACCCCCTTTCCTTCACAATTAGAGACCAATTCACATATACTTCTTAGCTCAGTTTAGACAAGTTCTTTCTTTATATTTTTCATCATGTTTAGTCTCCAAATGAGGAGCTAAACTCTTCCATCTTGGTTTTGCTACTTTGAAGCTTAATGAATTGTAAGTTGTGAGTTATTTTCTTTAATCTTCTTCCTTGAATATTAACTAATTCCTATTCCTATTACATATTAATATTTTGAGCATTACTTAAAGGATCAACTAGTTTTGTTTTATATATTAATTAATACTAGAATCGGTCGATTAATACGCTTGTTATTAATTCGATCCTTTCACGGTAGTAAACTTGGGTTGTTAATGCATGCGTCTCATGGTTAATAACCTATAAACCGATAAACCGATAAACCGCTTGTGTTGAAGTTATCAATCTCAATCGTTTTCATCTCTATTTTATTGCTACTATCGAGCGAATATATGGCGCGTGTTCTATATCAACTCGGTAGTAAGTTTTATTAATGAACGCGTCTCGTTATTAATAACTACCCTCGATGAACTGGATATACTACTCGATTGAGTATTCGAGAGGAAGATAGTTAAAGATATAACCGGAATCGACGAACATTTCATTAAGTGGATAAAAGCAAAGCCAAGTTTTCTTCTCATTAATTAAACCACATAACTCGTTCATCTTTGTGTTTAAATATAATTTAAGTTCATTCACTCAATCTAAACCCCCCCTTGTTACTAGTTTATAAAAAGAGAAGTATTTCTTTCCTTGCGGATACGAACCTTACTTCATTATACTACGTATAATTGTTGTATTGATATTTATTTTGAGTGCACATCACGACAAACTGCACGTCAGTCACCGCGAGTTTTCATGTTTTGGAAGAAATCCATTGCAATTGTGTAAAACTATCTAACATTACATGTACGGTGTAATTTAAATTTTGGATTACATGACATTTAGTAATAGTGTTAACTGCCTCAATAAATCATCAATTGAAATTAATTGTAAACCCTTTTCACAAAGAATATTTTTTCTTGGACTGTAATTTGATTGTCTGATCTGTTTAAGTCTGTTCTAATTTGATTTAGTCTGGACTGGTATGGCCTGGTAAATATCCCGTCTCTGTGTATTTTATAACTACGAACTACGGAAGTCAGGTCTGGTCTTGTCTGATTTGTTAAGTCTGATCTGGTCCAGTCTGGAACTGAAAACAGTCCAAGTAAAAACATCCTTGGACTGAGATCAGACATTAAGCAGTATGTGCAGCAGTGTGAGGTATGCCAAAGAAATAAATACCAGACTCTGAGCCCTGCAGGATTGCTGCAACCATTACCAATTCCTAATCAGATTTGGACTGACCTCAGCATGGACTTCATTGGGGGTTTACCTAAAGCTCAAGGGAAGGACACCATTTTAGTGGTGGTGGACAGATTAACAAAATTTGCACACTTCATAGCTCTCTCACATCCCTATAATGCTAAAAGTGTGACAGAAGTCTTCATTCAGGAGGTTGTCAGGCTACATGGTTTTCCCAAGACAATAGTATCAGATAGAGACAGGGTGTTCTTAAGTGCCTTTTGGACTGAATTATTCAAATTAGCTGGGACTAAGTTGAAATTTAGTACAGCATATCACCCCCACACAGATGGGCAAACTGAAGTGGTAAACAGGTGTGTTGAAACTTATCTCAGGTGCATGACTGGAAGGAAACCCAAGCAATGGCCTCAATGGTTACCCTGGGCTGAATTTTGGTACAACACAAACTACCATGTGTCTACTAAGAATACTCCCTATAAGGCTTTGTATTATTTGTATGAACAGGATCCACCAGTATTAATTAGAGGGGATGTCACATTAGCAGCTGTGGAAGAGGTGAGCAGGCTGACAGCTGAAAGAAATGGGATAATAGAGGAGTTGAAGAATAACTTGTCCATAGCACAGAATGAGATGAAACAACAAGCTGATAAGAGAAGGAGGGTTGTTCCACTTGGGGTAGGAGAGTGGGTGTATTTAAAGATTCAGCAGTACAAGCTTAAAACCTTAGCCAGAAGGATGAACCAAAAGCTAAGTCCCAGATTTTATGGCCCTTTTGAAGTCATTGAGCACATCAATCCTGTAGCTTACAAATTGAAGCTGCCAGAGGGCTGTAAGGTGCACCCGGTCTTTCATATGTCCCTTTTGAAGAAAGCAGTCCCTACTACAACTCCCACACAGCCCCTACCCAAGTGTCTAACAGAAGAATGGGAGTTGCAGGTCAAACCAGAAAAGATAAAGGAGAGCAGAATCAATGCTGCAGGAAAAACTGAGGTGTTGATGCACCCACAACTTCATCAACTTGACTTCATAAAAGATCATCATTGGGATGGACAATGTCGTTGTTAACCCATTCATTGTCCCATTGGAAACCTTCAATGATCTATGCATTAAAGATCGTTCCTTGTTCACGTCACTTAAAAGATTTTCACTTCTAGTCGCTAACTTTTGATTATACTGAAGAAAAACTAAAACTTTAACCTCATATACTCTAACCTGTTCCTTTTCTGGGTATGAATCTATTTGTTTAAATCTATTTACATTTGGTTAGGATTTTAATATAATAAGTGAAAATCTTATGTAATTTTACAAAGAACTAAAGAAGATATATACGTATTTTCTTCAATCATCATCCTATCTTTTTCTCAATGCAGGCTCTGTATTTCTGTGTTCCATTTCGGGAACAGCTACTGGAGTACTATTCAAATAACAAAAACCTTGTTGATGCAGATGAAAGTCTCTTGACATGCCTGGCAGACTTATTTATGCAGGTGATGCTTGATTGTTAAAAAGGGAAGTCGGTGTTATTGTGTGACAAACTTAAAAAAAGTGAGACTTGCAAAATTCGATAGTGGGAGTATTTTCGTATTGTTGCTTCAATGTATCTTCATAATATGTGAACACATATTCTGAAGTGTATTATATGTAATGATTAATGACAACTTTTTAGTTTAATTTGTGGGCCTTGCCTAACTTCTTTGTGCAGATTAGCTCACAAAAGAAGAAAACGGGTGTGATTGCTCCTAGACGCTTTGTACAGAAATTGAAGAAGCAGAATGAGATTTTCCGCAGTTATATGCATCAGGTGCTGTGTGAACTCAATGATAAAATTTAGTCCATCAATGTTGTGATTATCTTTGTAGTTATATTTTACACAAGATTCAAATGCTTCTTATTTTTATTAAGTTCCAGTGGTACCCTACATATTTTGATTGCACATGTATAGCTAAAGGTTTTGAAAAAGAAACAAGAGAAGTATGCTAAGGTATTATTTGTTTGTAAATTATATCTTCAGATGTGGAAGTCTAAGGCTCTAAGCAGGCAGTTTTTTAAATTATTTCAATCAATTGTGTACAGTTGATGAATCCTTTGCCTAGTAGAGCTTAAGAATTTGTGATACACTGCCGTTGTGAAGGAGAATACGCTTACATTGAATGTTCTGAAATACTGAAATTTTTATGCATTAAAATTGCTTCGCGGAAAGTATCTGCTTCGAAATTCTTTCTGATAGTTCTGAATGTTCTTGTGTATGGCATGTTTTCCTGGAATGCTTTTCCTCTGTTTGGCACCACAAAAATATTCACAGTAAGTCTTTGAACTATTGTGGAATCTGTTTTGAAATTGGGAAGCCATTTTCATGAAAAAGATCTATATTTTCTTTTTTGTGAGTTAATCTTAACATTACTACTTTAACTGGGCTTGAAATTTAAGAAAGTGACAACAGTGTGGTAAATATATATATATATATATATATATATATATATATATATATATATATACTTCCTCCGTTCCTTTTTAATTGCAACAGTCAACTTTTCACGTTTACCAACGCACAAGTTTGACCATTAATATCTTTCATTCCGTATTAGTAAAAAATTTAAAAAAATAAAATCATATTTTGAAAATTTAGAATGAGAATAATTTAACAATATTTTTTAAAAATTTAATTTATAATACATCAATTAATAAAATGTAGTCAAAGTAGAATATGTGAATAGTGCAAAAAGTCCAACGTTGCAACTAAAAGAGAACGGAGGTAGTATATACTTGGATGAGAAAATTATTATAAAGGACATATTGTTTTCCTTAAAAGGAAATAGGCAATAATTTTGAGACGGAGGAAATAAGCTACGTAGAATATTAATTATAATTTAGGGACACAAGGATTATACGTGGAATAACTTATTTTCACGGTAAATATCTTCCCTTTTCTAGGAAAAATGCTTCCACAGTCCAGAACATGCTACTTTCCTGCCAATAAAGTTGCATTTTTATTAGGTTCTGATGCCAACTTTTCAATAGGATGCCCATGAATTCCTGAACTATTTGCTGAATGAACTTGTTGACATACTGGAAAAAGAGTCGAATGCCGCCAAGAGTGGTCAAGAAACTTCACTACCATCTGATAATATTGCAAATGGACCAAAGGTCATCCATGTAAACAATCACATAAATTTTTCTCATAAGGAGCCTCTTGTGACCTGGGTTCACAAAAACTTCCAGGTAGACTTGCGTGGCCTATCACCACTTCTTGGAAGTTTAGTTTTGCATAGGAACATTTTGAGTAATTTTGATGGCCATTCTTTTATTTTTTATTTTTGATTGCTGGAGTTGTGGTTATTTGTTGCAACAGCAATGTTTTTAGTCATGACAGAACTAACCCCTTCCAAACCATCGTTCTGTGTGATTTGCACATTTCAGGGTACATTGACCAATGAAACAAGGTGCTTATGTTGTGAGACCATAACAGCCAGGGATGAAATGTTTTTTGACTTGAGCCTTGATATTGAACAGAACAGTTCAATTACAAGCTGCCTTAAAAATTTTAGCTCCACCGAGACTTTGAATGCCGAAGACAAATTCTTTTGTGACAAGTGTTGCAGGTGAGAGTTTGTCTGCTTTTAGTTTTTTTAGTTCACTGTAATCCAACTACATTGATGTTTTTTAGCCTTAATTAATTTTCCAAAGTTATATAGCCATAGATCACACTTTTACTTCCGTAATTGTTTGACTCTGTAATTTGGAACCTGTCTTTCATGTTTTGTAATCAGTCCACTTGTTATAATAGGCATAGAATTAGTCCAACAACAACAACATCCAAGCCTTAGTCCCAAACGATACTGGGGTCGGCTAACATGAATCGATACATGATATCACCAAAAGGAAAAGAAAGAAAATAAAGATAAAAAAGATAAGCTATTATAAAAAAAAAAAAAATATAAAAGAGATGAATATACATATAAAAGATAAAATAAAAAGGATAAAGTAATATTTATATTTAAGGATAAAAAATATAAAAAAGAGAAAAAAAAGGGGAAAGATGATACAAGATCACTCCTCCACACGAATACCCGCCCTCCATTTTGCTCTCTCCAATGTCATACCCTCATCCAATCCAAAAAGAAGCATATCACTTCTGACTCCCCTAACCCACGTCTGTTTGGACCTTCCTCTCCCTCTCTTCCATGTCTCTTCCCCACACATCTCAACTTGTCTGACAGATGTATCACTCGGTCTTCTATGCACATGACCAAACCACCGTAGACACGACTCCCGCATCTTATCTTCAACAGGTGCTACTCTCACCCTTTGTCTGATTGTCTCATTCCTCACGCGGTCCTTTCTAGTATGCTCATACATCCAACGCAGCATGCGCATATCTGCCACACTCATCTTTTGAATGTGACATTGTTTCACTGCCCAACACTCCGTGTTATACAGTAATGCAGGCCTAATTGATGTCTTATAAAATTTACCCTTCAATCTAGTCGGCATACCTCGATCGCATAGAAATCCTGACGCACTCTTCCACTTCATCCACCTTGTTCCGATTCTATGGGATACATATCCATCTAACTCACCGTCCTGAATTATGGAGCCCAAATAACGGAACATATCGCTGATCGGTATCTCCTAACCATCTAAAGTAATTCCGATATTACCACTGCTTCTACCTCCATCAAACTTGCACTCCATGTACTTTGTCTTGCTCCTACTTAGTCTGAAACCCTTGTTCTTCAATGTTTGTCGCCATACTTCCAACTTTGCTTTAACCCCCTGATTGCGTCTCATCAATCAATACAATATCGTCGGCAAACATCATGCACCATGGTATATCGTCTTGAATTGACTTTGTAAGTTCATCCATGACTATGGCAAATATAAAAGGGCTCAGAGCCGATCCTTTGTGCACTCCGATTAAGGGTGGTTCGGTACGGTATACCTTATATTTTTTCTCATACCTTTGCTGTACCAAAACTTTCGGTATGCAAAATTTGCTTACCTTTACCTTATCGTAGTTTCGGTATACCGCATTTCGGTATACCAAAGTTTCGGTTCGGTAACGGTACGGTATCGGTAAATTATATAACCGTGCATGTCTCCCAATACAAAAAGTTAGCATAGACTAACGAAATATACTAAATCGTTATTACTAGCGACATATTAAATCTATTATTAAAATGTTACGAAATACAATTAATAATCTATTGATGTCAATTCAATATTGAACAATAATTATTATTAGTATATTTAAGCAGTTCAACATGCCACATATTAAAAAGTAACACGTTCTCCTAATATAACTTGAACAATAAATATAGATATAATTAAATCAATAGTGATCTCTAACAAAAATAAATAAAACTATTCAAACAACATGGATATAAAATCATTTATTCCTAATATGATATTGTGTATTTAGTCATTTTTATAATTTTTTAAAAATTGAATAAGACTTTCGGACAAAGTTGTGTGTCTCGACTCGCAGAATCCCTATGTAGATACACTTCTCATATAAGTGTATCTCTCTTCACTCGTCAACTACTTAGCAGCCCAGTCATCACAACTTGCAAGCTCTTGGAACAAGATAGACTTGTTTCTTGACATTTGTACATTACTCATTAGTCATTAAGATTAGCGTAGTAGAAGCCTATAAGGTTATAATGAGTTTGAGAAATTGGGCCTTTATTTGTGTATTTTTGTATTTGTAACCAACTTAAGTATTAATTTTGGGCTTCAAAATTGTAATGAATTTTTAGAATATATTAGAATTAAAAGTAATTGTTGAGTAGGGAGTCGGTACGGTATTATACCGGTATACCGCGGTATTTGAAAACATTTACCGTTACCGTACCAAAATAGATCGATACGGTATGATACCGTACCAAAAATGACGGTATACCAATATTTCGGTATTTTCTGGTATTTTCGGTACGGTAAGTGCGGTATACCGATTTTTCGGTATTTTTGCCCACCCCTAACTCCGATCTCCGATAGTAATAGGGAACTCCACAGTTCTCCTACACTAGTACGGACACTTGTAGTACAATCCTCATACATATCCATGATGATGTTGATATACTTGCGTGAAATGCTTTTTCTAGTTAAGGCCCACCAAAGAACTTCTCGAGGTACCCTATCATATGTCTTTTCTAAGTCAATGAACACTAAATGCAAATCCTTGTGAGCGTCTCTATACTTCTCCATAAGTTGCCGAAGAAGGTGAATAGCCTCAGTTGTTGAGCGACCAGGCATACAACCGAATTGATTCTCTGAAATCTTCACCGTTCTTCGAAGTCTTTGCTCAATCACTCGCTCCCAAAGTTTCATGGTATGACTCGTAAGATTAATCCCTCGATAGTTGGCACATTCTTGTACATCACCTTTATTCTTAAATAAGGGAATAAGAGTACTCTTTCTCCAAGTCGTTGGCATTTTGTTGTTTCTCCAAATCTTGTTGAAGAAATTTGTTAACCACCCGATGTCTCTCTCTCTCAAACTTCTCCAAACCTCGATCGATATGCCATCTGGACCCACTGCTTTCTTCCGCCCCATCTTCCTCAGAGCCTCTTTAACTTCCGTTGGTTGGATCCTTCTCACAAAATCACGATTTACCATACAATCTGGTATGGTCAAATCACCGATATTTTGCACTTTGTTCCCGTTGAACAATGTATCAAAGTATGACATCCACCTCTCTTTTATCTCTCTGTCCTCCATTAATATCCTTTGATCGACATCTTTCACACACATAACTTTTCTGATATCTTGAGTCCTGCGATCACGAAGACGAGCAAGTCTATAGATATCTTGTTCTCCTTCCTTAGAGTCCAGTTTTTCATACAACTCCTTGTTCACTTTCCCTTGTGCTTCCTTTACGGCTTTCTTTGCTTGTCTTCTAGCCTCCTTGTATGCTTCTATGTTCTCATACTTGTCCCCATCTTTTTGTAGCAATCTCTTTTGTTCCTTATGGCTTGTTTCACCTCATCATTCCACCAAGAAGTGTCCTTTTTGGGTGGCAGACATCCTTTAGATTCTCCAAGTACCTCCTTTGCCACTTTGTTAATGGTCAGCTCCATTGATACCCACGCATCCTCCACATGTGTTCCATTATCAATACACCATACATCTTCACCGAACATTTTGTGTGTAAAGCTTTGTTGAAGATTCCCCTCAAGCCTCCACCACTTTATCTTTGGCTCCACTTGTTGCTTAACTTGTCTTCTATGATTCTTACCCCGAAAGTCAAGCACAAGCATCCTATGCTGAGTGACAACACTCTCACCTGGGATAACCTTACAATCGGTGTAGCTAGTTCTCCAAGTAGTCCGTACTAAGAAGTCAATTTGGGTCCAATTAGCTCCACTTCTATAGGTTACAAGGTGAAAGTCACTTTTCCTAAACCAAGTGTTCATCATAGCCAACTCATACGTCGAGGCAAAATCCAAAATGTTCTTTCCCGCTTCATTTCTAGTGCCAAAACCATGTCCGCCATGAATACTCTCAAAGCCATCACGACTCGAGCCCACATGCCCGTTGAGGTCGCCTCCTATGACCAACTTCTCTCCCCTTGGCACTCGTCGCACCACATCTTCAAGATCCCCAGAACTGTTGAGTTGTAGATGCATCCAATCCCACTTGTGGTGCATAGACACTTACCACAGACACAATCTCACCCCTTATCACCAATTTAATGCTCATGATGCGATCGTTCTTCCTGAAGACTTCTACCACATCCTCAACATAGTCACGCGCCACAATAATGCCTACCTCATTCCTGGTCTTATCTCTCCCCGAATACCACAACTTAAAACCTCTGGGATTAATCTCACGTACTTTCTCTCCAACCCATTTAGTTTCTTGCACACACATAATGCTGATATTCCTTCTCCTCATAACTTTGACTACCTCGGAAGATCTGCCTGTAAGAGACCCAACATTCCACGTCCCAAAGCGCAATCTAGCACTCCACTTTCTGTTCTTAGCCCCGCCTCGGACCCCACCATGCCCTTGCATATTTGACATCATCCTCGGGCAATAGGATGACGCGCCGCTTCCGGGCGACGACCTAGCAACCTTAGCATTCTTATCACCACACTCAGGCCTATGAAGTGTAGCGCGCTCTTGCATATTTGACACCACCCCCAGGCGGAGGAATGACGCGTCGCTTACGGGCGACGACTTAGCTGTAGCGATATTCGTATTTCGATTCATGTCATGTGATGTGACTAGATGATACTGTTGGCCGTCACGCGCCTACCACAACACCCTCCTCCTTTATCCTGGCTTGGGACCGGCATGAAACCAAAAAAATTGATCTCATGGCGGAGTTAGGCATCGAATTAGTCCATCCCGTTAAAATAACCATTAAGCATCAATGCTTATGGGCACGTTCTCTGCAATACTACATATGTGAATGCCCCTATAAACCTTAATATTTGATGGTGTAAACAGTATTAACATATGGACTCAATTATCTCAATTGTAACAATTGATGATGTAGGTTTATCAAGTCCAAGAGGCAGGTTCTGGATTACACAATTTCAAACTGTTGCGGGACTAAAGTCCAACTTTTGAGAAATACACTCATGAAAGACACTGAGAGAGAGGAGTTATTCAAAAACCTACCATTAGGGGGCTTACAAAATCCATCACCCCCATGAAATTACTAAAATACCCTTGA